ATATATATATATATATATATATATATATATATATATATACATGAAAAAAAACTTTCGGGCTGAAGCCCCCCCAACCAAAATGAAATCCTGAATCCTCTAGTGTTTCAGAGGAAACTCGGACAATCGCAATACTTTTTCTTATTATACATTCCAGGTAAGTAAAAGTCAAAATATTATTTTACTTTCAAGGTTTCATTGATGTGACTAAAAATATAAAAATAATGACCAACAATAATAGAAATATCTAGATTTAGTTTACTTCTAATAATATGGCTTCTGGTCAATGCTGTAGGAATATTACACTTGAAATAGTCCAATCAAAATCCTATGTCAGCTAGGATCCCATCACCCCATTGATATTTAATTAACTCGTTGTAGGATCTAAGTCAAGTTCACATTGATCAAACTATAGAAAACGGTTAGGTTTTGAAACATATGTTCTCTTTTATAAGTTCGGTCCAATCAGAAATTTTTAGAAGAGATTTGCGAATGAACTTAGTCATTTTTACTTTCACTTCATCAAAGGTACATCAAAGGCGAATTATTGTTAGTGCGTGTTAAGTATGAACAGAACGCATTTATTTTGGTATTTTATATTCAGAAAATTCTCTATTAAACATTTATTATTAAATATTTTATTATATTTTAAAAAATGTATCCATTATTATTTACTGTAATACCGGCATATCTAAATTATGAAGAGTGGCTATCAAAGAAGTTTGATATTATTGAATTTTATAAACTAAAGCAAAATGAAAAAAATGTAAAAATAAAATATTGTTAATGCGGTTAAAACAGAAATAAATCATCTGTCATAATGTGGTCAGGAAACTCAATAAAGAAATATAACATTGCCGTTCGATTCATGGTGTGTTATTCAATATCTTAAGAACACGATGGTAATAATTTTATTTTTTAATTAAAACGAAATCAATTTAATGAATAAAGTTTAAATCAACTTAATAAGAAACTTGTAGAAAACATATTGACTTTTATTTTATTTTTTAAGTCTGGCCTACGCTCGGCAATTGTTCTCTGGGTTCTTGACGTCATAACAGTGACGTCAGTACACCCACCAGCAGTCATCGTCCAAAGCTGACTGAGGACTATTGTAACAAACAATCGCCATATTGTTTCAGTGGAGTGGAGAAAGTTCTTTTACATGGACAATGGAGATTTATATCTACTTTTTCTCCTTTCTGATCTGATAGTATGACAATATGACAATTAATTTATTACGATAACAAAAGGAATGATGATGAGGTTTGGTACTTTTCAGGAGTATTCATATTACTTATATACTAGTAGGTCCGTGCGAAAAATTCGCACAGCATATTATTATCATATTAAAATAATGCCAAATTAATAAGAAAATAAAATAATGCAACGTATCAAAAGATAAAGAAATCAAATGTTAATTTATCGATAAATATAATCGACAAAGGAAACTAAAATTAATTTAAATCTTTATTTTTGTTTGGAACCGACAAATTTCAGGAAACTGTATCTTTGCTAAAAATTGTCCGATTTCGATGATTTTTTTTTTTTATTTTGTAGGGAATTTAGTTAGCTTTCAAATACTCATATGCATAATGAGCCATAATGGCGGTGATTACACTATTTTACTCTCCTGAAGGAGAAGGAAGCCTTCGAAATTGGTGGCTCAATCTTGAGATTTGGTGAAAAATTAACGATGATATGGCATGGTGATGAAAATCACCATCGATAAATAATATAAAGTCCTCTCTCGAGGCCTCAAGTCGACGAAATGAGACGTGTATTCAATGACAGTACAACAATTAATGTAAGGTTGTGTGGATGCGAAACTCATGCCTTGCGTTATCTCCAAAATAGTACGTTTTGGGGCTTAAAACGCGAGATCCGATAGTTTCGGATGAACTATCCGGGTCTTGTTGTACGCACCAAAATCTTCAAGATCTAATTTGTCCCGTATCGATCTACAGACCTACCACCGTTCCAGTATTAAAACCTAGCAAAATGTTTGTATCGAATTTATTTATTTTAGAAAAAAAAAACAAAAGAAGAGAATACGATTCGCAAACCCCCCGTGATATTCTGAATCCAACGGTACCCCATTCATGGTATTTGAGCATGACAGGAGCTTATATTTGGTATAAAACCGATTTCGAGCCTTACTGTTATAATATATGTTGGGATAATGCAAAGTAATTATTTGAATTTATATCTTTAAAATGAGAGTAGAGCAACACAGTGAGTTAGGCACTGTCGTGCTAAGCTGAAATGATTTTTCATCAGCCAAAGATCGACCCTAGAGTGTGTAGACTCTTCCTGTGGTATAGCTCAGCCTCTATAAACTAGGTACTTTTAGTTAAATGTTAAACCCATCATGGGTTGTATTTGTACGTGTGTATTTATATCTTTAAAAAAATCGAATGAGTAAGTCTCGTAGATAGTTATATTTTGAGTAACATAAAAATATCAAATTCTGAGTAGATGTTTCAAAAATTATCGTTTTAAATGTATTTAAAACTTAACCAAATCGGGAAAAAATCCGATTGATAAGGCATTGCTTATGAATAACAAAATGACTTTGATAGGAAAATTAATGTCACTTAAGACTAGCGTTCAATGAAAAGTGGAAAAATTACAAGTCGCAGACTTATTTAAGAAGGGGATTTCGGGCTGATGACAACCCAAATATATATGTAATATATATATATCTGGGGGAGCGGTGGCTCTGAATATAGAAGGCATTGTACGCGGCAATATTTGAAAGCCTCTTCCGCCGACCATTCACAAAACCCTATTCAACCAGTTTTAATAACCACTTTTCAATTTCCATTCAATAACTTTTTTTCTCATTTTATTTTACTTCTATCTGTTTTTAATTTTCGATAATTCATTTATTCCTTCATTTCGGATATTTAGATATATAATCCATCGTAAGAATTATATATTTGAACTTTTATTTTTATGGAAACAATATAAAATAAAAATGAACTTAACAATAATATTTTATTATTAGCAGTGTCTTATGGTTTAACCCTTACTATATTTTCATCATACATTATTCATGATTATATCATACACATTGATGAATAAATGATGTAATTAGCTAAGCCATGATGAGTTTGTGTGGAAAAATAAAAAGACTGATCATTTTAAAAAAAAATTAATAAATTATGATGAAATGAGATCGTCTTCAGTTTGATCAAATTAAATATGCTTGCTGTCAGAATTATATATATATATATATATATATATATATGTATTGTATTTACTATTCTTTTCTGTATACTGATTTATATTCGGCAAAATATAGTTACCATTAGGCAAAATTGTCTTTTCTTAAGTCGACCTATATGCTTAAACAAGCAGAATTTTAAACCCATCTTCCATCTTCTACCGCCCCCAATAAAATCAACACTTTATAGCCATATTTTAGGTGATATATTTCTGGAGCCAGATCCAGCGAAAGGTGGAGAAAAAGACTAGGCGGGACAGGATTCACAATACAACCATCCGAGCCTATCTAGATGTCCAAGCAGTCGAAACTCTATCCAGAAGAACATAAGTTAAGGTGGTATGGGCACCTTCTATGTATGGATCGGAGTAAAGTCGCAAGGAAGACCTGGAGACTCGCGTCCAGGAAAGAATATCGAGAGGAAGACCTCCGAATATCCTAGAAGAAGGCGTGCGAGATGCGTTCCAGAAGCGAGAGCTGGAATGGAAGTGAAGTCCACCTGGTCCAAGGTGGTAAAGATGGAAATTAAAACAGATCATGATGATGATATTTCGAAAAAGAAATCATCGTCACATAAAATATTATTCCATTTTATTGACTGAATTAAGGTCAATAAATCCCAAAACGAGAAAAAAAAAAAATCTCCTGAAATTTGTCGTCCTATAAATTTTGCAGCCCGGAGCAAATGTCCCTTTTGCCAGGGGTGCCCCATTCCCCCAAAGGTCAATGGCGCATCTCTTCCCCTCCTCCAATATATTTCATTGCTCACCTCTTCTCAAAAAACAATGCAAGCGAAAGTGGAATTAGAAACAATTGTATTCCCTGCAGTTTATTCTATGCTTTCTTGTCTTTTGGTTTGTATCTTTTCATTCCAAAATTCATAAACCCATCGAAAGGTGCCCCCCTGAAAAATTGTGATGGCGCAACTTGAAATCTCCATCTGGACATCCTTGTCCTTTGCTGTTCCTAAATCGACGTTTATGGTTACAGCTATTTCCTTATAAGTAGTAAAGTGAAGTAAAAAGCCTTAAGTCTTTCTCAATTAAGATCCTAAGTAATATAAAATTAATATTTCATATTATAGTTTCTGAAATTAGCGCGTTCAATTACACCAGTGGCTAGTTTCTCCACAAGTGATATCATGTCACCATATTCATTATTCACATTTACTAGATTTGTTTTTTCTTAATACAGTTGTAAATATCATGAATAAAATGATATGTATTTATGATTTTTGCATTTAATACACTATACACAAATGTCACAGATAATCTAAGGTCAGCTATGTCGAGCGAGTTAAGTACTTGGGTAAACGCTCGATTCGGGTTAAATAAGGAAACCCACACCATCTGAGATTCCCACCGGGCATGTGAGACCTATCAGTCTACTGGAGGCAACTCACTCAGACCGGTCGTAAGATGATCCTTCCCTACTTTAGTCAGGATTGCGATGTGGTTTTCCGCTATGTCTGTCACAGGGGGAAAAAATGTACATCTTCGTGCGCCTGCTTACTTTAAGCAGACATGGGCCAAGTTCGATTTGTCAATGTGGCCCCAAAGGAATCATTTATGCAGGAATGGATGGCCTACCGTTGGTTCGTAGCGTTGTGAGTTTGAGTTACCCCCTTTAGGCTCTCTGAACCCTCGCAAGCAAAACATGCCTTGTAAAAGGATAATGTTAAGCGGCCAAGAATCTATATGGCCCATGCCGCCTCTCCGAATATATATACATATAATATAATAATACTTCAAGTTCTTCTAAGATTTTTGCTCACCTCGGCCTCTTGAGACTCGTCCTCCTCTCAGGTGTTCGGGGTGGAGTCTCTCCAAGACGATGGTAGTTGCTGACGTCCCTCAAGGCGGTCGGCTCCAGCCTAGTGAACAGGGTCTCTCTGCTGCCATCCCATTCCTGAAACAGTTACATATTGTTGTAGAAAGTGATTCATGAATAAGAAATTAATTGTATGAATGAAAATCATTATTATATCCTCAGAGTTTCAGGTAGGTGACTCTGTTTAATTTGTCAGACGAATGGTTCACCTCAATTGATTGATAAAAATAAAATCTGCCGAACTCAAGAGCAAGTATTACAAGTATTCATGCATTTGTTGTAAATGCTTAATGTGCTATCATGCTGAGCAGTCAGCACAAATTTTGAATGAATGATAAATAACCTGTCTGTGCTAAAGTGTTATCAGTTATAGTAAGGTTATGCCTGTACTGTAAACAAAGCTTTGAGCTCTTAATTGATCTACTAAAGTTTTGATTTATTTTTAAAATGGCAAAGCGAAGTGAAAAGACTGAGTTGATGGACTATTTATAAATGTGTTATCAGTAATGTACGCAGGGAAAAGACTTGATGAAATGCTACCTCTCTTTAACAAACAAAGAACAATGAATCGAACACATTAAAACCTTACAATAGCCTTCTCCGTGGGTTTACGAAGTAAAGGGGACCCTACACGGTCAATCGGAATTGCACTAATGACGTTCCGAATTGTCGTGTAAGGTAGTGAATGAAGTACTGATGGTGGTGCGCTGCGGATTTCCGAACATCCGGAAATCGAAGGTTCATTCACGAGAAGTGGAGGGAGGACTGAGGTAAAAGTAGTGGGGGAGCTAACCATACTGCTGGATAGGTTAGGTTACCTAGGCCTCACAACCATTATAAATTTCTGATTTTCATTATATGTAAATAGTTAAATAATTTTTCATATCCCTTGTTTATAATTTTAAACCATCTTCAACTATTTCTTTTAAATAGTCAAGTGGGCAACAAATTAAAAAAAAAAAAATGAGGAAACTTCACAATTTACTTTAGGAAAAAAAAAAAAAACTTTATCGTTGTGTATATTTATCAGTTCTTTTCCCATTTTGCTCATCAAATTTATTATTTTCGCAATACCTTTCCTTAATTTTTATAAGTAGAAGACTTATATTTTACTAACTTTTGTCAAAACTATTTTCTATGAGATTAATCTTACTACTAGATAGGTTAGTTTACCTAGGTCTCGTTATTAAGTAAATAATTTCATAAAAGTAAATAGTTGTTTATATTCCTAGTCTATATTATTATTAACCATTTTCAACTATTTTTTCTTTAAATAGTCAAGTAGGCCATAAATTGGAGAGATAAAAAAGGGGAAACTTCACATAAGTAATGATCAGTAATGATTGAACGTGTAAGGGTCTTCATTATCAAAGCGATAGCGGGCAATCTTGGCACTTCTTGTGACGTTCATTCATGAATTACCGTGTAGGGTCTGCTATACAGGATCCCAGACTGCGTTAAAGTCGAGAGTACGAGATTAATACACATTTCGTAAATAACTTTCTCGATTTTACACATTTAAGAGATTTACATACTTAGCACTGGTTGCATCAATGCCCCTATTATGTGTTAGTACTCGATGTCTTCAAACTATACACACATTCATATCTATATACAATTGAACAAGAATATATATTAATACCACGTCTGCAGAGTTGATGACGCAAACCCGCACCCAAGAAATCTTATTGCTCTCGTATTCTTAAAAACGGTGCAAGTGAAAGTAGAATTATGCAAATTGTAATGTAAATATAGTGACACTTGCTGTGGTCCGGTTCTTTTTTTTTTTTTTTTTTTTTTTTTTTTTTGCCAGTTCAGTCACATAGAGAAGAGGGTTGGTCAAGAGGTACAACCAAACAAATTCGAAGTGGGAAGGTCTAGATTCTTTTCTTGGATCTGCTACGAAAAAGTTTCAACCCACTCAGACCGGATTTGAAACGCCTCCGCTAAACACGAGAATGTTAAAGCTGGCAATTTTATAGAACATGGTTTCCTCGATAAATTCATAACCCAGTTTAAATATGACCTAATCAAAAATATAAAACTGGAATTTTAAAAAAAATATATATATTTGTATTTTACACAAATTTACAACTTTTGAGGGGAGGGAGACTTTTTTTTTTTTTATGTATCCATTAGAAAACTCCATGGTTGAAAATAATATAAATCGATTTTCAAAACCGTACAATAATTTTTCCAACTCTTAGATTCCTGTTTTTCGGTTAAATGATAAAAATAAAGAATATGTTTTAAAATACAATTTAAATAAATACAAATTGAATTGTACCTATATCCATTATTATTATTATTCTTATTTTTGGTTTGAGTGAATTCGGCCTTGCCCCCTAGCTTTGTGTTATGACCATTCTTCAGTCGACCCCAGCTACCGACAAAGGAATGAGGAAGAGAATAGCTGTTCCCTTCTTTCAGTTTTACAACTTCTCTTTCTCTGCCTTTCCTATTCATTTTTTTATTTTTTTTATTTTCACTTGTACTGGATAAATGATTTCTTTTTGTTTAGCTGCTCTCTCCAGATTTATTATCAACATTTATGAGGAGCAAATATGATTTAAAGAATAAAAACACGTCTATATATTTATTATTTTATTAATGTTATTTTATATATGTTTGGGTCGAAACATCGGTTAACTCATAAATGAAATTTTGACTGAAATTCCTGACAATTTTGTTTCATTCTTATAACTCATCAGTCAAATACTTAGCAAATATATAAGCGTAAAATTAATTTACAACTTTTAAATCTTCAAGTACTTACTATGTTATGATGGCTCACGTTTGAGTTTTCTTTTCCAACAGAGCAGCGGCGAGTTTTGCGAGGAGGGGGGGCGCAATCCGACCTCCGCTGACCCACTGCCCACTTCAGCATCACCTGCAAGACAACAAGAAAAATTATAATGATATTTATCAAACAACAGGAAGACATTTTGTTTCTAAAATATATTTTGAAAATTAAATTTTTTTTTTTTTATTAATGAAATTCACAACTGTATTGCATGAAAAATACAACAAATAAATGTGACATTGGTAACATGACATGTACAACATGAAGAGAAACTACCCATTGGTAGAACTCAAATTAAAGTTCTATATTAGAAGGTCCCGAGGCCATCTTCTTTTCAGACGCCTCGGAGAGTTATCAGGGATCGAGGAGGAAGCAAAGTTAGAAACAAGAGGATTGGGATGGTCATGAAGTTTATTATGGAAGGATAGGTATCTGGATTGGACCAATTTGGAAACATATGGAACATTAAGGTAGCTAAGGAAGATGATTTTATTTGTAACAAAGTAAGGTGTATTGAGAATTTTACGAAGGATTTTGGATTGTAAGGATTGGATGCGAGAGGAATTCGATGGTTTTGTGGAGCCCCAAAGCTCAATTCCGTAAGTCCAAATAGGTCTTATTATTGTCATATATATGAGTCGTTTGTAATTGATTGAAAGCTTACAGCGTTTGTCTAGTAAGTGCTGCTTAGTCGAAAACGTCGGGCGGTTTCTAGTCGTTTCAGTCTGGTATGGGGGTGAAAATTAAATTTAAAAAATATATCATTATTCCAGAAAAATAAAGCGATTAGTGAAAATTACAAACACATAAAGACATGCAAAAAAATAAAAATTCTTTATTTTTAGATACCGGGGCGATCTGAGATCAGAGTACAAACGCATGGAGAAGGAAGACCAATAAAGAATTACTTGAAACAACTCTTAAATCAACAGTTCATGATATGAAGGCAAGGTGTGCAAGGCATGAAACTCGGAATAATCCCAAGACAAGAAAGCTCTCTCATACAACAATGAATGCCTCAATAGTAGATGAAGGCCAAAAAAAAGATGTATAAACCGATTCAACAAAGATGCAATAGAGCTGCATGCAGAGCGCTGAAAATACAAGGCAGAGGCCTGGTTAAAATGGTAACAGATTTACAAGGTCTAAAAATGACTATTTTGTGCGCTTTAGACCACACGATAGAAGTGAAGCGAGATTAATAATACCGTACTTCTGACCTCCATCCACCTTCTCACCGAACTGCTGCGTTTGACAAATCCTTTATAATTCAAGCCCTCTCCACCTGGAATACCATCCCTCCCGATATCCGACATGCACAATCAGTCTAAATCTCTTCTTTGTAAGCACTTACTTATTTTCCAACCCGATTGATCATGAAAAGTAGATAAGAGAACTTTTTAAGTTCTTCCAGAAACGATTTTGTTTACTTATGTATTTTATTTTCATATATTTCTATTATATATATCTGTATATATCTGTATGTATTTATGTTTTATTTTTCTTTCAATATTTTAATTTTAATGATAATTGTAAATATTTAATTTAATTTTATGGCCACACAGGCATTTCCTCTATATCTATAATTTGTCCTAAAGGGACAACAGTCCCAGGTTAATAAAAATCTATTTTCATTTCATGCATGAAATATAAATTATAAATAATAGCTCATTATAAAAAGTTTTATATTTGTATATTTAAATAAAATTTTGCACAGACTGTAAAAAATAATGGCATATTTGCGAGTTTCTCTGTTTCTTTTGAAGTTCAATCAACTGTTCCTGGTTTCGATTTCCCTCTCAAACTTCGAAATGGTAATGTACTTTATTTCAAATATTTTTTTAATTATTTATAATTGAAGGTTAGGATGTAAGCATCGATGAGTTTTAAATATGTATATGCCTTCATTTTCCGTATTTTGTAAACTTCATTCATATTATTATATTTCTTTTGTTTTAACTGATGGAAAATGTCGGTGAATTTGGTGACGAAGCTATACTGACCTTACTTGGCAGAAGTTTTGAAGTATTTCGCTCAGATAACTCTATAAACTATAGACCAATAAAAAAAAAATTCCATTTGGGGGACTTCAGCCAAAAAAAAACCTCCTCCTAGATCGGCCAGTGGCTGAGTAATTATATCCTGGTAGCCCTTTGAATCGATGGCAACTAATCGAGAAGAATGAACTCGATAGATCGATTTCGACTGAATCATCTATATTAATTCAGTAAAAACCTGACACCTGCCCATCGCGTGATCTAGGGCAGTTGTTACAGTCGTTGCTTGACTCCAAAACAGTCCAGTCGTTGCTCCCGTTAATTGCTGACAAATACCTTACCGATCGGGGACCTTTCGGGCTGATAGAGTTATTGTGAAACGAATAAACCGACTAGCGAATTTATTATAAACTAGCCACGTCTTACTATGGCGCAGTCTGGTTCAATAGAAAAAGAAATCAGCTGTTTCTAATATATTTTATTTCACAATAAGTGTGGATAAGCGAAAATTTTTGTTGTTCCACCACCACCCATTCTTTGTACAGATATAGAGATTATATGGTTTTCTAACTCTAGAATACGCAACATATAACTGTCTATGTGAGAAGCAATCCGTCTCTAAATCTTCGAAGAAACATCATTAAATCTTTAAAACATTATATCTCTGCACCAAATCGTCCGATTTTAATTAATTTTTTGTTTTATTATTTTGAATAATGAACCTTTATAATCGACCGAAAAATTCAAAAATTTTATCCCCTCTCAAAATTGGAGGTTTTACGTTTCAGGATACGTAAAATTCGAAAATGCAATAACATTTGTTTTGTACGTTCGTCATACGGCGTCCGCGCATTTTCTCCGGAACTACTGGACCGTTTTTTTTTTTTTTTTTAATTTAGATTTAAATCAGAGGATGATCCTCCTTCATTGACATTACTATCCGTCTATTCTTTTCAAGATGGTGGCCGAAAAAAAAGGAATGTACCGATTTCAATGAAAATTGGATTAAATTTTCTTCTCGACGCCCTTTAAATTTATCTATATAAGATACGTCAACGAAAAGAAGCTGGAAAAAAAATTTACGAGGGATGGTAAAATAAAATTCCGAATAACTCAAAAAGTATACACTTGATGTGGATATTGTGGTAAGATCTTTCAAAGGTAAATTTCCTAAAAAATGAAGAAAGTTTCATCGAAATCAGAGCTCGATTAGTAAATATATCGCGATTTTAAAATATTTTCAATAATGAACCATAGTAATCGAACAAAATATTCAACAACTTAACCCATTCTCAAAATGTTTTTACGTTTCAGGATACGCAGAAGTCGAAAAACGAATAAATTTTTTTTTGGCCGCCCTTCGTCAGCCGGATACATATATAAATTAAAAGGACTTCAAGGAGAATACTTTATCCAAATTTATTTAAAATCGTTACAGCCGTTTAGGAGTTACGATCTATAGCGACAGGCGTTTTTCAGCCGCCTTTCCAAAACTAAAGGCCGGATGGCAGTTAAATATATAAAAGTACTCCTAAATCCAATAGAACGTTATGTCAAAATTTCAAAGCAATCGGTGAAGAAGTTTTGTAGATTAGGGGTTTTGAACCAACGAACATTAACATTTTCATTTATAATGACATCTGATGCACGAAAGTATCTATATTATTATGAATATCGTTGTAGAAAAACAAAGCCTCAAGGTTCTTAAACACTAGAAAATATAAGTTGATGTTTAGCAAACTGAGCCATGATCAGATAATAGAATAGTTCAAATAAATTAAAACCAAAAATAGCACTTCTTACGTCAGTAGTAGATCAAGAATTTATTTATTTTTTTGTCTGTAATCGCTCTAGAAATAAACTAGCTGTATGAAATGACGATAAGTCCTTGAAGGCAAACAAAAAAAATATATTGAGATAAATTTCTTGTATTTTTTAAAAATATTTGCTTACATTTAGCAGCTGTATATGCTTTTGCGACTCCTATCTCCATTTGTCAAACCACGTCCACTAAATACTCCAACAACTATTATCCCACCACCTTGTACACATTAAATTTTCCGCAAGCATTTAAGAAATTTTAGGCTATGTAACTATAGTTACTCCCTATCAGTTAATTGATAAGAGCTATTTTATTTTTATTTAATTATTTATATCTCAGTGTATTATACTTAGTGTTTTCGTATATATATTTGTATTTTCCTTAGTATTTTTTGAACTCTGCTATTTTTACAAGGGGCCCATAAAAAAAAAATTCTTAATTTTCTATTTATATCTATTATTTTCTTATATAACTTCATATATCTTTTCTCTGTTTTATACTTTAATCTATGATTACCATTTTTCATTTCTTATGTTATCTTATTTTGATTATGTTTATTTCATTGGTCCGTGCTTTGTTACCGTTATTATTATTTATTTCTTAATTCTCTGTTATTGTTATTATTCTACCTACTTTAATATTCACTCTATCTACTTCATTTTACGTTAGGTTTTTCTACCTAAATTTTTAGTTAATACCTTTCACTTTTTTAAAATTTTAATTATTTATTATTCAATGTTTATAGTTTCTTATACCTATTGTTATCTTGCTCTATTCTTAGCCCTGATGAAGGTCTGAAGGACGGAAACGTCGGCGAATGTGAAAATAAACACAATTATTTATTTTTACTATGAGGAGTTAATTGGAGGCGGTCAAATAAATACTAAATTAAAATATAGTATTTATTTAATTTTTGCCGACGTTTGGACCCACTTTGTAGGTCGTCTTCAGGCCTACAAAAGATACAAAACATGTTGAAAATAAAAAATAAATATAAATAGATATAAAATAAGAAGAAGTTGTCAGATACAGAAATAAAAATACTTATTTTCAATTTGTTTGTATCTTCTATATTATAATTCTTAATATTTTAACTACATTGTAACCCACTATATCTCTGATATCATCTTTTTATTTCTGTATCTGACAACGTCTGTATATAGTTATTTTATATCTATTTATATTTATTTTTTTATTTTCAACATGTTTTGTATCTTTTGTAGCCCTGAAGACGACCTGCAAAGTGGGTCGAAACGTCGGCAAAA